TTTTTTTTTTTTTTTTTTTTGGCTTGATTTCAAGATTTTGCTAAAACAGACGTGTTCAACCAAATACAATCTGGAGCTGGAAGACAAAATAATCAAAATATTCCCATGTTTGCAGGGAAAGGACCAAAGTCTGCTTTCCAAGCAGAAAACTCAAGAGCTGCAGAGAAAATGGAGGGACACTTGCGTACATATCCATCCCAATTTTCATCAAACTACCCATCCTGCAAACCCTGTCCGGCTAGCCATGCCGCCATCTCGGGCAAGCATCTCCAATCCAAACTCTCTCGCCCGTCCCCCTTTCCAGCCCATCAAGCCCAACCTGGTCAAAACTCTCGGGTCAGCCCTGCAGCTGAACACTGGCCCAGTCACGACCCAACTCGTCCCTCCTGCAGCGCCCAAAAGCCCGCCCACAAGCCCTGTGCAGACAGACCTCGTCCTGGGCACCAAGGGCCCGAAGAAACCCGCCGAGGATCATCAAGCCAAGGACCTGCTCAGCTGCATCTCGTCCGAGCCCATGACAAGAAACAAACCGTTCGAGAAATTTGCCGACGAGCTGGATGCCGGCACGTACAAGAATATCCTCAAGGGCCTGATGGAGAACGCGTGGTGGCAGGCTGAAGCTGCCTCAGCCGTAGCCTCGGCCATCACGCGCTGCCGCCTGGGCAACGGCAAGCAGCGGGGAAACGGCAGAGGCGACACATGGCTGCTGTTCGCGGGCCCCGACCGGGTCGCCAAGCGCAAGATGGCGTCTGTGCTTGCTGAGCAGATCTGCGGGTCGGGCTTGGTTATCATCGGTCTCGGTCCGCATCGGGAGGACGAGCCCGAGACGGGCCTCCGAGGTGGCAATGCCGTCGACCGCATCGCCGAAGCCGTTCGCCGGAACCCATTGTCGGTGATCCTGCTCCGGGATATCGACGAGGCGGGCGTGATCGTGCGTGGGAACATAAAACGGGCCATCGATCGAGGGAGGCTCACCAACTCGTATGGCCGTGAGATCGGACTCAAAAAGGCTCTTTTCATCGTTACAGGCGATTGGTCGACGGTTAGCGCCGAGGCCTTACGAGACGGGCAGTTTGTGGACGAGCGGAAGCTGAATTCGACAGCTGGCGGGAGCTGGCAGCTGGGGCTGATTGTTCGGGAGAAGGCCGCCAAGCGGAGGGCAAATTGGTCCAACGACGGGGGCCCGAGGACTCGGCCAAGGACTGAAACGGGCTCTGGCGGCGGGCGCTCATTTGATTTGAATCTCTCGGCTGCGGCGTACGAGGAAAAATCCATCGAGTCGAGCGAGGTGTCGGCAGTGGACGGAGGGGACGATGCGGAGCCCACGGACGGGGGGTTCTCGATTGTGTCGCTGCCACATGACTTGGCGACCTGTGTGGACGACTCGATCGTGTTCAGGCCGGTCGAGGCGGCGTTCGTGCGTCGTGAGATCAAGAAAATGATAGCGGTGAAGTTCTCGATGGACGTGGATGAAAACCTGGCGATCGAGATAGGGGATGATGTGCTGGACAAGATACTTGGAGGATTGTGGCACGACTCGACGAGCCTGGAGAAGTGGGTGGAGGGAGTGGTGGGCCCGAGTTTCGAAGAGCTCAAGCAGCGTCTGCCGGCAGGGGATAGGAGCAACTCGGTGGTTCGGTTGGTGGTCGAGTCGGACTCGTGTGATCAGGGGAAGAGTAAAGGGGATGTGGTGGACTGGCTGCCGAATAGCATCTTGGTGTAGGGAGGGAGTGAGTGAAACT